AGACTTGGCAGGACTAGTTTTTAAAAAGTTCAGGAAGACAGAGAAGTAGCATTTCTCTTTTTGGTGCATAAAACCCTATGAGAGAAGAAACCATCCTATTCCCAATGCTGGGAAGTTCCCGATGTACCTTAAGAAGGTCTTCTGGGTTTCACAGATGTGAAGGATATCAGATAAAGGATATCTTGGATAAAGGCAGCAGCTACATACTCTCCGGCAGCAAAATCGCTGGAGAACTGAAGGGTTTAGGTTTTAGGAGATGGCTACTGGGACTCCAACCCATGAACATCCCAAAATGACAAGGACAGCTCTTGGTTAGCACTCCTGTCTCTAAATTGTGCTGATTAATAAGTAGCTGTGAACTCTTTGATTCTCAGTCCAGTCTGAGTGGGTCGCTGCGGGGAATCCTTTAAAACCAATGAGGCCATAAAGCTTGAGCTTTGTCTGTCCCTGTTGTTGGAATATTTTGTCTCCAGTGTCCTAAAGATCAGTCTGGGAGACTGGAGCACACCTCACAATTTCTTCCTGTAATCTGAAGCTAAGCTTGCCCGCTCTACCATTCAGCCTGGTGAGGGTTCCACTTCCTTATGCATCAAGACGTTATTCTGCTAAACTAGCTAACATCACTAAAAAAAATGAGATGACTTGGAAAGGTGGAGAAAAGAGGGTAAAAATACAGTCATTTTTTGGTAAGTCTCCATTATGCTAATAATAGGTAAGCACCCCCAATGGCTAAGAGCCTGTACCTTAGACCAGGCCCTTTAATAAAATAGACGGTCAAAGCTGAAATGAATGAAATGGTCACATGAGCATCATGCAGCACATTTGGAGGCTTATGGCAATACATGCATATTAATGCATATATGTGCATTGAGTTCTAAGTTCGAAGAACTGTGATAGCCAATGAGGATAAGTAAAATAATGGTCAAAAGCTCTAGGAAAAGAATTTACGTGAATTCCTGACTTAAATGCCACACCTTAAGAGACTTCAGGTGTGGAGTAGTTATTACATAAGCTGGAGAAATTTCATGCTTTGCTAGGCAACGGCCTTGTAGTCCACAGGACATGCTAGACTGGACTGGTCACATTTGGAAAGTGTGCAGCCTCTGTGTACCTATGTGTAAGGAAGCACTGGGGCTGCCTCGCTCAGAAAGAGGCAGTGAGAAAGGCAGGCACTCGAAGAATCATGGCCAGCCATCTGCAGCCTCAAGAGGTGTGTGCCAGACCCAAGCAGTTGACTAATAAAGAAACTGAGTTAACTGAGAAAGGTCATAATAATATTATATAGTACTGATGCTCCTTGACTTATGATGGGGGTTACATCCTAATAAACCCATTGTAAATGGAAAGTGTTGTAAAATGCATTGAACACACCTACCCTACTGAACATGATAGCTTGGTTTAGCTTACCCTTAAAATGTGCTCAGAACACTTACATTAGCCTGCACTTGGGCAAAATCATCTAAGACAAAGCCTATTTTATAATAAAGTGTTGAATATCTCATGTAATTTATTGAATCCTGTACAAAAAATGAAAGACAATGGTTGTATGAGTACTAGAAGTATAACTTCTTGTGAATACGCATTGCTTTCAAATTATCATAAAGTAGAAATATTGTAAACGAACCATATACTGCAAGGAACATCTGTGTATATAATATATATAAAATATATTGCTATATATAAATATATGTGTGTATATGACATAATACAATATTTATATTATATAAATATATTAAAATATATAATACATATGAATATATATTCATATTACATATATATTTATATTGAATATGAATATATAATATATGAGTATATAAATTATATGCATGATATAATAATAAAATGTAATGATAAAGAAACTTAGTTAAGCAACATACAATGAAGTTAAGTGTAATGTTAGAAAAAAACAGAAGGCCTGGCACGGTGGCTCACTCCTGTAATCCCACCACTTTGGGAGGCCAAGGCAGGTGGATCACAAGGTCAGGAGATCAAGACCATCCTGGCTAACACAGTGAAACCCCATCTCTACTAAAAATACAAAAAATTAGCCAGGTGTGTTGGCAGGTGCCTGTAGTCCCAGCTACTTGGGAGGCTGAGGCAGGAGAATGGTGTGAACCCGGGAGGCAGAGCTTGCAGTGAGCCGAGATGGCACCACTGCACTCCAGCCTGGGCAACAAAGCAAGACTCCATTTCAAAAAATGAAACAAAACAAAACAAAAAAACAGAAAACCACGTGTTCAGTGTTTCATAGTTGTCTAATTTATGTTGAGACTATGGCCAACACACTTTATAATTCTTCCTCAGAGAAAACGTATTGTTTCTACAAAGACTCTACTTATTAATAACAATCTTATGTGTGGCATCACTGGCCTATTTGTATTGTTTTCTTTTTCTTTTCTTCTTCTTTTTTTATATACAAAAATCTCCATTCTAAGAACCCAAGTTAGGAAATGCTATAGGATTGGGTATGACTACCAAGAGGAAAAATCCACTGAAATTTTTTTTAAATGAAAAATGCTAAACCTCACAAATAATGAGAGAATAATACAATAAAGCCCCACGTGTGCACCCAGCATCAGCAACTGTCAATATTTTGACAGTCATTTTTTTATCTATTCCTTCCCCCTTTTTGCTGAGATATGAAACAGAAATTCTCAGGTACAAAAAGAACATAAATGGTTTAAAAGTCTAGCTATGTTTCTCTAGTGTACAAATTTTCTTTACAGTACATTTTTCTTTCCATTTCCACAACCATTACCCAAATTCTACTGGTGGTCATTGAAATGCCTCTTATGATGGTCTCAACTAGAAAAATCTCTTTGTTTTTCTACCTGCCTCCAAATAAGAAATACATTGGTAACTCATGTCATAGTTCATGAGTCTCTAGGGATTCTACACATCTGCTTCAGCCAGTCTGTGAACTTTCAGAAAACATATGCAAATATTTCACATTTGTTTATTATATAAGGGGGTTTCAAAGCTTCTATCAATATTTTCATAGGGGCCTATTACCTACAAAAGGTTAAGAATCTCTGCCTCTATTACATCTTGAAAGCATATCAAATATACTATCTCACTTCCACTCCCTAATTGTATTTATTTATTTATTTATTTATTTATTTAGAGATTGGGTCTCTGTCACCCAGGCTGGAATACAGTGGTGCAAGCATAGCTCACTGCAACTTCAAACTTCTGGGCTCAAGCAATCCTCCTGCCTCAGCCTCCTGAATGGCTGGGATTGTAAGCATGCACCACCATGCCCAGTTAATGTTTTGTATATCTTTCAGAAATGAAATTTCACTATGTTGCCCAGGCTGGTCTCAAACTCCTGGCCTCAAGCGATCCTCCCATCTCGGCCTCCCAAAGTGCTGGAATAACAGGCATGAGCCACCTCACCTAGTCCTTAGCCATTTTTTTATATTTAAATCAGGTACCGGCCACCACTTCCAGGATGCTTTCCGTGACGATGTCACCTACAACTGATTTCTCGCATGGTTTCTTGCAAAAGTTAAGCTAGGTTACTTTCCTGTTTATCACAGTTGCTCAATCACTGGACAAGTATTTATCAGGTCCTACTATTTGCCAGGCACTATCCTATACTTTAGGTATACTTTGTCGCCTGATGCACTGTTAGAAGAGGACAAGGAACATCACAGTATCCGACACATCTTCTGTGTCCAAGGACATGTTGCAGTTGTAGCTGCAGTGAGTGGAAGCAAAAGGATGAGCAGTTGCATTTCTGTAGCTGGCGTTCAGCTCAAGAATACCAGACTCGTGGTGTTTTTTTTTAATTTTTTTCTTTCTTTCTTTTTGAATGTGAGGCCTTTACAGAAAAAGAAAATGTCAATCTGATTATCAAGGGCATGACGATAAAGAGAAGCCCAAACAAATGTTCCCCCACTCCACCCCACCCAATATCCTGTGGCACTAGAAAACCATTCCAGAATCAGAAACTATATGCTGATCTCCATCAAACCTCTTAGTAGCACCTGAAATAGACAAGCGTCGATGTGAGACCTGTAGTTGGGTCCCCACAAATAACCTGTTATAGACCAGTGTCTGTGTGAGACCTGTAGTTGGGTCCCCACAAATAACCTGTTATAGACCAGTGGCTATGTGAGACCTGTAGTTCGGTCCCCATAAATAACCTGGACTGGAAAACACAGCTCGACATGAACTCTGTCCCCTAGGCAGGGGATCAGGAGGACGAACCTCTATACCAAGGGCGGCAGAGCGGTTACTAAACGTGCTCGTTTTTCGTCACTGGGAACGTGCATTTTTAAAGTGCATAGGTCCCTGATGATAAGGGAGTTGTTTAATAATAGGCGGTTGGAGATATTATCACGTTAGGGACTTGGAAGAAAGTAATTAACGCTATTGTAACAGAAGCAATGGGGGGAGGGAAGGTTTGTGTCCAGTTTTGGGCAAAAACTTCTAAGTTCCACCCGCCTTTTGATGGATGCTTTTTTGATGGAGCTTGTTTTGCAAAACTCAACAGATAAGTCATGCTGTGTACTGGAATGATTTGGAGCGTCTAAGCCGTAGCACCCTACTTAATCCCCCATCTCCAGTTATCCCAATGGACCGACCCCAAGGGGGCATTTCCGCTGAAGTCCGGGGCTGTAAAAAGTAAGTGAGAAAAGCCTTGCTAAAGTCACACGTCGCCGTCACTCCAGGTACTACGCTGATGCGCTTCGGGCCGACCAGGTGCGCCCGCCGGGGCGTCTTCTACGCAGGACGGGCCACGCCGAGAGACACCGGCAACAAGGGCAAGGCGGGAGGCCGGAAGGTCACCCCTGTCCCCGGCCGGGCGGGCGCGGCCCAGCCTCACTTCCCGGGCACGTTCGGGCGGGGCGATTGCAGGGAACGAGGCGGGGAGGCGACAGTCCCCGGCTCCGCCGCCAGCCAGCCCGCCTTCCCTGCCCGGAGGCGCCGCAGGCCTGGGTTCCCGGACAGCTGAACCGGAGCGCCGCCTCCCGAAAGGTGAAGGCAGCCCAGGGAGGCGGGGACGGCGACGGGGGCGGGGGCCGCGGGCGGTCTCCTCGCGGCTGTCGCGGGGCCAACCCAAAGCCCCGGATCCCCGGGAGCTGCGCTTCCCGCGCGGGGCGCCGGAGTAGGGCGGGCCAAGCCGGCCTGCGGCTGCGGCAGGAGGAGGGGCTAGCAAAGCACCCCTGAGCGGGCCCAGGCGCGGGAGGCCGGGGCTCGCTGCAACTTCTCTTTGGAAGCCCCTACACTAGCCCGGGCCCGCGCGCGCGCTCCCCCACGGCCACGCGCGCACCCTGCCGCCCGCTCCTCCGCGCGCCCTCCGTCTATTTTTTCCCTCTTCCTTTCATCCTCACACTCTAAAATAGGTCAAGGGGTGGAAGTTACACCTGGTGCAGCCCTCGGCTCTGATGCAAAAGCAGCTTTTGCCCCTGGCTGCGGGACAGCAATGTGACTACTCGCATCGGGAGAGCTGCTGCCCGTCCCCACACCGTGCAGAAAGCGCCGGCGACTCGGGTGCTGACAATGGTCTGCAGAGGGGAGCGGAGAGAAGCCTCTGTTCCACCCTAGATCCGCCGCCTTGGCGCCCGCCCGCGGGGAGGAGGGGGCGCGACAAGTCATCTAGCGCGTGCTCCGGAGCCCGCGCCCGGGTCCGGCCGCCTGGGTGAGTTCCTGGTCCTCCCCTGCCTTTCGGTAGCCCAGGGTGGCCTGTTTACCTTGCAAACTTAGATACGATCAAGAGAGGCGAGACTGCCATGCCGTAAGGGATTGCGGGATGTGCTTTGGGTGTGAGATCAGATAAATCAGAATTCAGAGATAAAGAACATGTCTAGTGCCTTAAAGGTTAAAATGGATTCGTATTTTTTCGTGGAGTGCACGTGTATCTTTCCCTGGGGAACTGATTTTTAATTAGTAAGAGGCAAAGAACTAAGATAACTTGAAGCCAGAAAGTTTTCAAAACTCACGATGAAAATACAGTTTAAGAAGGAATGCCAAAATAGGAAGGTAAGGATTTGTATGATATTACTTGCTATGTGTGGGATTTGTTTGTTTGTTTGTTTGACAGAGTCTCTCCCTGTCACCCAGGCTGTAGTGCAATGGCACCATCTCGGCTCACTGCAATCTCCACCTCCCGGGTTCAAGCAATTCCCCTGCCTCAGCCTCCTAAGTAGCTGGGATTACAGGCACCCGCCACCACGCCTGGCTAATTTTTGTATTTTTAATAGAGACAGGGTTTCAACATGTTGGTCAGGCTGGTCTCGAACTCCTTACCTCGTGATCCGCCCACATCGGCCTCCCACAGTGCTGGGATGGGGCCCGGCTGGGTCTTTTTATATTACGTGGGTTCTTTGTGATAAATGATGTGAGCCCACAATGCTCTATGTAGAAAGAAGATAAGGCTGTAAACGGCTACTTGCAGAGTTTTATGTTAGGTGGTGGGCATGAATGTAAACGTACATTGAAAATTTAGTGTGTAGAAAGAGCTAAAATATATCTACACTGTTTTAGGTTAAGATTTTGGTAATATTACAGCTAACCATTGGCATTTAACCCTGTTTCAGCAACTAAAAGTGCTATTATTCATGTGACATCAGCAAATGGAAGCCTTTATCTTTCTATTTTTTATTATTTATTTGTTTGTTCTTTGTTTGTGTTTGAGATGGAGCCTCACTCTGTCGCCCAGGCTGGGGTGCAGTGGTGCGATCTTGGCTCACTACAACCTCTGTCTCCTGAGTTCAAGCGATTCTCCCGCCTCAGCCTCCCCAGTAGCTGGGATTACAGGTGCAAACCACCATGCCCAGCTAATTTTTTTTTTTTCTTTTTTTTTTGTATTTTTAGCAGAGAGGGGATTTCACCTTGTGGGCCAGGCTGGTCTCAAACTCCTGACCTCAAATGATCCACCCACCTCGGAAACCTTTATCTTTTAGCTAATGAATGGTTAACTTGTTTGAAGTTTGGGGAAGGGAGAGTTGGAGCTTTCTCTGTCCTTGATGACTGGCTGAGAATACAGGGTAAAGAACTGTCCAGTATTATGAGTGGTGCCTTAGAGTTGCTCATAGCAAGATCACTTAGGAGAATGGAAGTGGCTCTCAGATGGTCATTGGTTATCTATAACTTATTTGAAGGAGACCTTGAGAAGTTGGGACATACCTTGTCACTGAGGAAATTATGCCAAAGAACTGCTGCTGTATTAATGCATTTGATCAGATTTGAGAAGGGAGCTTTGTATACACTCTTTTTCTAACTCCAAAGAAATTTTTTTTCTAGAAAGATTCAATTGCCGTAATCATGTCCTTTGGAAATGTGCCATTTTGTGTGTATATCTTAATATGGATAAAGTTCCAAGGTAGTTCAAAGGTTTTAATAAAATTTTACTTACCAGAGGGATGTGAAATTGGGAATACCCTGTGTGGATAGTTAACTCTGCCTTAAATTGGAAGGTCAATGGGAGCAGGGATCTTCCCAGTAAATCTTAAATCTGTGTGTATGTGTATCTTTGACAGCCATATCTTACTGGAGATTGCAAGGGTTGTAAAGAAGAGACCAGACCTTATAGTATTTCTGATAGGTGGATATGTGGATGCTTAAATGCATTTCACTTGTAAAGAATTTATATGCTCCTTTAGAGAACTAGTCTCCACAATTTGAAACAGATTTATGAAGAAGACTCTATCATTGCTTTAAAGAAGACACAAGCAAGACATACTTGGCACTATACAGGCTCACAACGTTGAGAGCAAAATGCAATTAAATGCCTGTGTTTACTACATGTCAAAGTTCTCATTTGTATTTTTAAACAGGAATTGAGTGAAAGCTCTCACTGCAATTAAGCCCCTGGTATAATGCATTATTGAAATTAGGCTGTCAGCACTTGTCTGTGCTATCTTATGTTTTCACTTGTAGATAAATTAGGAATTCTTCTGAAAAGAATGGCATGAAAGCATTAAGATAACTGGAGAATTCATTTAAGGACAGACTGAAGAGTGATGCCAAATGGCCAGTTAAATGTCCTTCAGCTTTTGTGATTCATTTCTCTTGATGCCATAGAGAAAGTACATTGCGTAGACCTCCTAGCGGAGACATCTTCAAAAGGAGTTAACATCATTGACTTTGGATACTCACTTCTCATCCAGAGAAACTTCTAACCACTTAAAGAAAGCATTTTAAGAGTTTGAACTAGATCACCTGGATTGAAGCCCAGCTCCGAGCCATTTCCTTGTCTGTGAAATGGAGATAATGACACCTCCCCAGGTGGCTATGGAGCAAATGACTAGGTGTAAAATGCTGAGTACACAGTTGGCACATTGTGAGCAGTCATAAAGAGGGGTTTATAACAAGAAGTAGGAATATGTTGATTAAATATCATCTCCTGGAGGCTGCAGAGAGGTTGCTGCCTAATTGACTCTAGAACTGAATATATGGGTCACTGGTTCAGTCCCCCATCTGGGTATACTGAATATACTCCTAGTATACTCCTATAGCATAGAGTATAAAATATGTTGTACTCTTAGTAACCAGTGTCCTTTGGGAGCCAGAGGCTGTCACACTTGCATCTCCTCCACCCTAGACAGGCCTTTGACTCAGCTAGGTTAAAGAAGTAACCTGTGGTTGTTTTTAGAGATGATGATGAGGTGGTGGGGGGAGGTGGGCACTTGAGGGGTTTGGTGTATGGTCCTCTTCACACATATGCGTGGTTTTCTTCTCTTTGCTTTTCCCTGTTCCCTTCTATCCTCCCTTCTTTTCTCTCTAGGGGTCCGGACGATTATTTCCCAGCCTTTGTTAATATGTCTCGGCATCAACCCTAGGCCCTAAAGGGTTGTTAGTCCTGATTTGGGTAGTCCTGGAAGGTGCAGCCTGTGAGCTTTTTGTTCTTAAAGGTGTAACTGCGAATGTCAAATAGGCACAACCTTTGCCACTTCCATGGTTCTTCTGGGGTGTGACGTCCCATCTTGCTGTATTGAATGTGCTTATTTCTACCTTCTCTTTCTTCTCCATCAGGTTGCAGATAATGGAAACTATCCTAACTATTTTAAGCATGAAGGGGTTGAATATGAGAATTAGGTGCTCACAAGAAGGTTGGAATGAAGGTTGCAACTGAAAGTAGAGGAGGGGACCTGGCCTGAGCCTCATGTCTTGGCTCCCAAGCAGCAAGCTTGATTGGCCCCCAGGGTTGCTGCTGTCATTGCCACAGCCTGGGGGATGGGAATCAGAACCACCACTAGAACTGCTAATATCAAGGGTGCACCTTTTGGGCTATGTTCCATTGATCAGAGAGGCTGCTGCAAAATACCTCTCCACCCTAGGAAGCTAGTGACTGAACATTGCTACCAACAACAAAACAAGGAAGCAAATGTTTTCCTTAGATGCTCTCCACCTTCCTTCTTACCCTGCTCATCTCCCTGGAAGAACACTGTGCCCAGAACCCTAGCTGCAAGGGACTCTGGGAAATGCAGCTTATAGGTTTCTAGCCTCAAAGATAGAGGGATGCACACCTGAAGGAGATAGGAGTGAATGTTGTGTGACAATCCATCATGCCTAACACATATCTAAAATATATTTCATCCAAGATTTGGCTAGAATATTTATTTTTAAAGCTGGTAGAGATTGACTTTGGAAAGGTAAGAGGGTATGTTGTAAAAAATTTTTAAAGGAGTTAGTTGCTAACCAGTTACCTTTTCAAACAGATGGATGTTATCCTTTTGCAACTGAAATTGCTGGAAAAAGCATCAAGCAAATGAGTAACTAAAAATTACCAAGCGCCTGTCTCTGCATGTGGTACTAATTGAATGGAAATAATGTTCCTTAGGTTTGGTTTCATAATCAAGGTAAAATATTAGTGAAATGATTTTTAAAAAATTATTTTTCCTTCTCAAAGCCACAGATAGTCTACTCATTTAATGAACCACAATACAAAGGAAGACAATAATGTCCTAAGAGATAAATAATAGCACCTGGCTTGCTAGTTCTTTCGTCAGATGAATTATCTGTGTTTTTCCCAAATCCTTCTCTCCCCTGTAACTTTCAGCATGCTCATTTTAAGGATTACAGGAATAGACATGACTTGTTTATTGGAGAATAACATAAGAGTATGCTTGAGTTCACTTTAATTACTTATTTCATACCCTGGTGCTTGTCAGATTCCTTTTTTTCCAAACTATTGAAGTAGATATGATTGGATCTCTTCTATTTTTAAGCAATAAATTACCAGTTCATTTGCACTCACAAATTACATTAGCACATCAAGGGATGGTCTTGATTATTGAACAAAATTGTGTTATATTTACCTCTGATATTTGGAGTTGGAAAATGAGAGAAGATATTCATCCAGGGGGTGGATAACAATAAGGTTATGATAGTATGGTACTTTTATTATAAGTGCAGAACAGTAGGTTACTCGAAGAGAAAGTGGTGTGTTCTCTCATGGTGAGGTGGAAGATGGAAATAATTGAAACATGAACATATTTCTGACTTCAGGGAATATTTGTTGATATTTTTAACAACAACAAAGAGGTAGCCAAGAGAGACAAGAAATAGCAACTGTCTGGAACCATGTCTTTCTCTTCTCTGTTCCCTTTAACACAGAGCTAGTGAAGTAGGAGAGCTTGACCAATGTTAGAGGGTTTTAGTGTTTAGAGAAATAATGTGTCTATAAGAAATGAGGAC